AGCTGGAATTTTACTCTAAAGGAGAACTATGAGGTGAGGGATTTCCACTCACCTCATAGTTGTAGCCGACCTGTGACAATGAGACTGTCAGGCCCCGTTCCCACTGCGCGATATGCAAATCGCGCGTTTGTCACGCGATTTGCATATTGCGCGACATCGCGAGATTTGCAGCGCGATATCGCGTTCAAGCTTGCATTGAGCAAGCTTGAATCGCGGCTAAATCCGCTCCAAAAAGGGTCCTGCTGTAGCGACACACGACCCGCAACAGCAGGACCCTTTGCCCCATTGAAATGCATTGGAGCACGATATCGCGCGGTAATTTGCCGCGATATCGCGGGAATTACTGCGCGATAAATCGCTCAATGTGAACAGGGCTTCACAGGTCGGCTCAGTAGATCGGGAGGTGAGCGAACACATACCAGGTTCGCTCACCTCTCGATCCTGTCACGGCTCTCTGCCGTGACAGGGGGAGGGCTGGATTCCCCTCTCCCCGCTCCGATCTGCCAGCGCTGACTGGCGGAACGGACGGGGCGGGGTCACCTGGCTCTGCCTCTAGATAGGCAGAGCCAACTGTCACTCACGCAGCTGGGTGGATCCTGTCATCTACGTCGGGATCCGCTCCGGCGTCTCAGTATACCGCGAGCTGTAGCTCGCGGTATACTGAGCTTAGGGTAACGAGAGGACGCTACTTTGTGTCCTCCCGTTACCCTAAGGAGAACTATGGGGAAAAACACTGACCCCATAGTTCTCCTTTAAAGCTGAATTCCAGAAATACAGAGTTGAAACACATATATGAGAACTGTTTACCTTCCAAAGGGTTTGTAATTATGTTCTTGTGGTCCTGGCATGCCTGCTAGATAGCACACTTAGCCCCTTTGACATCAATTGCAGCAGCAATGCAGAAAGAGACGGAACATACTGATGAGTCATCCATGCCCTTTCCTCTTTTCAGTATGTGCTCTATTGACACGTGTGCCAGTTATTTATTATTCATAGGGTCTACAGGTCTCCTGGCCATTTGTTTTGGTGGGGTAGAAGAGACGTATCTGCTTGTCCCAGTTGTGGTTATGCTCCAGCAACCCTTTTACACACGCTGTAGCCCTACCATTGCTACGGTACTACCAATAAACGCCACCATGGGCCTTAAAGTTTGTTTATTAGGGATGTTGGATAAGAAACACTACCAATCAGAGGACTTAACCTCGGTCACTCGAGCTCTGTTTATAGCAAGAAAGGAGGACAAAATTGGCTCTCCCCACACCCTCTGACCCTGGGGTCTTGGAAGAACCTTGTAAATGCTATCTTGCCTAGGAGAAAACAAATTATCAGGGGTTGCCCCCAGAAATTCTTCACATTTTGGCAGGATTGGCTTATTGCCCCTAGTGTAGTCCCTGCATCAGTGATGGAGAGCTACACATGGCTATTATCTACTCATGGCAATGTCTGAGGAAACTGCTTTTTACCCTATGCTTTCCCTTCCCTATTATTCAAGAATTGTTATGCTGTCCTGATATGCCTCCTGTGTTCCCTATATTGTTTTGAATTTTCTTGACTACTGTCATATCTTACCATTCCTCTGTAACTGTTTATTATATGCTTGTATACATTGCTGTATGGTGTACCATGTCTGCATTCTTTGGTAGTTAAGTCTCTGCGCAGCCATGGATGATTCCTTTTGATGCTGTCATACTGCTCCTGTTTGGGGTAGGGGCAGATGGGCACATGTTTTAGTGGTTTATATGTTTGCTTGTAAGCTTTGTTAAACCCTTTTAAAAAAATGACTTAAAGCAGACCCTTACACTCAAAAATCAAATTCTACCAATGCATCCCTCTATGTATGATAATTAATAATAACAGACATGTCAGGTGTAAAACGCTGTGATTTTGAAATACTTACACTTGCAGAGCATTCACTTCCTGCTTTGAAAGGGCAAAATGACTTCAGTTTTCCTCCCCTGAGATGATGTGCATGGTCACATGTCCCAGTGTCACGTACCTTAGGGGAGTCTGAAGTGTCGAGGGCGGCCTCTTTCACAACTCTGGTCCTGGGGCACCGGGATTGGGCACAGGAGTGCCAGTTGAAGACAGATCCGCAGAGCAGGAGATGCAGAGATGGGTGCAGGTCCAGGCAGGCAATGGATCAAGCAGAATCCTCAGGACAGACCAAGGTCGTCAACATGCGGGCAACGCAGTACCAGGGAATGAAGCAGGAACAAGCCGAGGGTCAAAGCAAGGGAAGCTGACAAATCTGATAGCAAAGGAGGTGTGTTAGTCACAGCCTTTATAGCCCAGAGGGCTCCAAACACTCAAACAATACGTTAACGCGCACCCGTTCGCACGCTCACACAGAGACAGCTCTGTGAACTCCACCATGCGCAAACCGCGGTGTAAGAATCCTGGCTCCAGCTCTGGTTTTGGCTTCCTGACACCCAGTCACATGTGCCAGAAATCCAGGAAGTAAAAGGAGAGCTAGTAATCTCCCTTGAGTAAACATGACCACTTCCAGAAGACTGGGGAAGAAAAAGATAAATAATGTATGCACAGACTACAATTATCTAGATGTGTTTGTAGATTGTCGTTACTAAACATTTCTAAAGGTGTGTTGTTATTTTAAAGATATGGGTAAATGATCCCTTTTGCCTTTTCTCTACTCTGGGGAAACCCGGAACGTTTAAGATCTTTGAGTTTCCATATTAGACTTTGTTACCTGAAGCTTTAAGGCCTGGTTCACACCTAGGCGTATTGCAAACGCGCGTTTCCGAGGGCTACTTGGCTGTATCCCAATGGAAACGCGCAACAAAAACGGCCCAAAGTAGTACATGTACCTTTTCAGGCGTGGGCCGTTTTGTAGCGCGTTAGGGACGGGCTGAAATACGCCAAGGTGTGAACCAGACCCAATTGAAAACAATGGGATTTTCATGTTTGAGCGTTTTGTAGAGCGTTCGTCGAGCGTAGAACGCGCTACAAAACGTTCATGTGTGAACGAGGGCTAAGACCTCCCTCTGTCCCTTATAACTTACAAGACACAATGTAAATTATTATTATACAGGATTTATATAGCGCCAACAGTTTGCGCAGCGCTGTACAATATAAGGAAGACATTACAATCACAGTACAATTCAAGACAAGATGGTAAGGAAGTAAATGTAAAGATACTAAACAACAAAGAGATCAGCTATACTGTATGTACACACATAAAGAAAAGAATATTTATTGATATATAGTATATATTATACAAAGCATTTAAAATAAATTTTACTTTGCTATTTACATATATGATTCTTTTCCATTTTCAAAGGGAGGTTGTACAGATATAATAGCAGAACTCTGAACTGTACATATATACAATCATAATGTACATAATGTATTTTACACAGAAAAAAAAACATGTGCAAGTTACATTGCAGGAACACAGAAGATTTTTTTAGAACTTTTTTTCACCACAGATTTTTTGTATTCATTTAAGGCAGTGAGGCAGTGAATGATGCGATGGAATGGGATAAATGCTTTTCTTATCAGTGAAATCATTATAGTTGCTATGAAACATATTTGCTTTGCTTATCTACAGCAATAACTGTGCACTCGTATTACATCACATTTATCTTGAAAAATGCCAGAGGACAATAGGGAAAAAAATAAAAGACTTGTTCAATCATCTAAAACTAATAACTGCAGCATATACATCACTGAAAAATATTAGTATTACAAGGACAATACTGCACACAACAATGATGGTGTAGCACCCTTTTGCAAAGCTCAAAACCTTATTATTAACCTACTTCCCCCTCCCCTAAAAAAAATATGGGTAGACTCAGAGTTGGTGCCTTAAGGTTCTCACACTTGTAAGACTACGGTTTTAAATCCTGCAGAGGTGAAACCTTACCTGACTGACTGACCCACATAAAACACACCAATCAAAACCATTTGGGCTCAAAGATTCCATTAATTCAGGACTTCTAAGGCAAATATAGTCAAGTATGCAAGTCTTGACTCTTCCATAGATGGACAGAGTTATCCTAAGTTATGATTAGAAATGACAGGTTTGCTTGCTTGTTCTTGTCTTGTTTGCGGTACTCGTTGGGACTTTTGTCTCAGCCAGGGTACAATTCACTTTAGTGCTTATGTAGGTAAAAGACTGTTCCCCATTTGTTGAACATGTAACATATATGGCCCAGTGATGCTCATATTGGATCTACCCCGTTGTGAAAACTGAGTTGTGCATGGCTGGATTCAAAGGCACAAACTGTCCTATAAGCCAAATGATTCTGATGCAATATAACCACATAAGGGCACAAAACAGACTAGCGGCTTGCATACACAAACGTTATTTTTCTGTATTTTACATATATTTCACATAATGCAAGTCAGCAGATTCCCATCAAACTCAAAGGTACGGTGTGGATGACAGTTCTGAGGCTGCATTTGACCTGGTTGCGGTGCATTTCTCTAGTCACTTGAGCTTCATTTGTGTTAAAGTCAAAGCAGGCTGAACGTAGCCTTTTGCTGTATTTTGCATTCTAATGTATGTGTTCAAATGCCCTTGGGCTCGAATGCAAAAGCCAGCATTTGACAGCAACCCCCATGTACACACGCACTAAAGCTGGCCATACACCGTCAAATATAATAGACTCCTCCATCCACACTAAACCGCGGGGATAGATGAATCTCCTGATGTGTGCTTTGTATTCTGGGAGTGGTGAGTGTGCTTCTGTCAGAATACATAGGCAATGATGGCAGCTGATTGGCTGCCATCACTGTGTGCCTGAAGAATTCCCATCTGGCTCTTTTTCAATTGTTTGATCAAATGATGCCAGACAAATTAAGCACAGTGTATGGCTAACTTAACATTGCATACTGGGACATGAAGCTGCCAGGTTGGAAAACCTTCATTGCTCCCTGCTGATGAAAAAGAGATAATTAGGCACCGTGTGTATTTCTCATTAAAGACTCCATCTAGAATGCATTATCTATTGGATATGAATGTCCAAAAGAAAAAAAAAGAATAAAACAACTGTTCACAGGTTTGATCATTCTTGATGGAGAGATCAGAAGTCCTCTTATATGTGCTCCACACCCACCATTCCCAGATTTTGATGCTACTTCACTTTATGGCTTAACTGCTGTGAGTACAGGGATCTGTTTATTGTGATTTCTGCAATTAGCAATGAGGTGCTTCTGTATTGTCCCAGCACGGAATGTCGGCTACACACATTCCATTACCCTCATAAAAGTGCATTCCCCTCAGTGCACACAAGAGACAAGCTTGTGAAAACACAAAAGAGCACATAAACAATGCCAGAACACTAATATGTGTACATTCATTCCAACGAGCAATGTTAAATCACTCCTTTCACTACCGTGTAGATCTACTGTATGATGAAGCCAAAAGTTGGAGATATAATGCAAAGTGAAGAACGCAGCAACAAGAGAGGACATGTCGGATAGGAGATAATGAACAGATGAAAGCTGGAGACTCTTTAGATCTTCCTAATGTGTGGCACAGCTTATCACACAAAAGCTGCTTCACAGTGATAAGCGGGGGTTATTTTTAATTCCACTCCCCATTTTCCACGTTTGCAGTGACAACTTTAGAAGCTGTTAAGTAAACCGTTTAGCTCAGTTGTTAAAAGAACAATGAGCAGCAAAAAAGTCTAGGATAGACAGTTCTAAATACACTGCAGGCTGCACAGAGAGGAGTTCCACTGCCAGGTCAGACTGCTAGATTGTAAATGAGAAGCGTTGCAGATGTTAAAGTCACATCATGTGTCATTGTCTGCCAAGCATTTCAGGTATTACAGAGAGTCTGTTCTTCTCCTGGCAAACACTGCTGACATGCTTTTCACAATGCCTCGTATTCCCGTCCCCTTCTTGGTAACCAGCTTGGATTCTTTAATCTTGTCCACCAGGCCATGGAAAACCATAAGAACTCCATGGTAAGCCTCAGCTGCTGAAACTTCATAGAAATCACAGTCCATTGACAGAGCCAAAAGCCTCCCTTCTTCACTTGATACAGTTCGTAGGTGATGCAGATCACGCTTATTACCCACAATGACTATGGGCAATTTCTCTGGTCCCAAGCAGTCTTTGGAAGCTTTGATGAGTTGGATTGTCTGGCAAATAATGTTGAAACTGGCCCGGTCAGAAATGCTGTAAACCAAGACAAAGCCGTCAGCCCACTGAATGCGCTTCTCCTCTTCCGCGCAGCTTTCTTCAGTTGGCTCCTATGGCAAATTAGAAAACAAAAGTCACTAAAGAACAACAATGGCTTTTTAATACAAAAAGATCTATGGATTTATTAAAACCCTTTCTGATCATATGCACATTGCGGATTTTGGCCAATGTGATTTGTATTGCTTTTATTTTCTATTTTTGAAGCGATATCGTCACTTTGCCCCCCTTCCCGAACCAGTACTACTCTCCTATCCAGCAATTCCCCACTTCTCCCTACTCAACCTCAGCACAGAATACCCGGGGAACATGTGACCTCCTCCCACGTGGCAGTGCTTAGGTCTATCATCAAATTACTAGGCCTTAGCACTGTCAAATGACAGAGGGGGTGACGTCACCGCTCCCTCTAGGGTCTGACACTGGGCATTTTGTTGTTGAGGAAGGAGCAGCGGGGATCACTGAAACCGTGAGTCCCTTTGCCCTGAATGCCAAAAGATTGTGTCTCCTTAAGTACTGCATAAAAAGGGTATGCCTTGCTATATGACTGTTAGGAGCACAAAGTTGACATATCGTTATGAAAAAGCAGTGTTTAGGAAAAAAATTCACCGTCAACGGAAAGAAGATTTCTGGTTGGCTGCAATAGGATAGTGCTTTTTGCACACCGCTTCTCTTGATCATTAAAGTCAACAGGGTTATTCAGAAAAGGGTGAAGAGTTTGGAGAAGGCAGGAGAAGTGACCAATCCAGGACAACATAGCTGAACTGGAATGTGAGCTGAATTGGAGAATATTTGCAGCTCAGCTATGTTGTCCTAGATTGTTCACTTCTCCTGCCTTCTCCAAACCCTTCACCCTTTTGTGAATAACCCTGAGAAGGTTTTTGGCTTCTGCTTCTTGATGTTCAAAAGTTTTAGCTTCCTGCAGGATCGTCTGGTCCCCTGAGCACTGGCCCTGACATCCTGTTTTAGGGCTCCTATGGAGTCACCCTTGTGTGTGCTAGCAAGCTGTTTGTGCGTCTCCACAAACACACAGGCACAGCAATGAAAGTCACTTTCCCTGCTCCCCATTTTGCCAAGCTTGTAAATGTATGGCTGCTGGAGACTGTGCTGTCCCTTGTGATATTGTACTGGAAAGGACATTCAGGAAAGCTGAACTGAGAGAGTTGGAGCTGTTCAGTAACATGAAAACTCTAAGTCCTTGGGGGAAAATGTAAAGAAATCCTTTGCTGGGGAATGTATATTTGTTTGATCTTGATTCATTATTGAAAAAAGTTAGAGTTTATTACTATTGTAAATAATGGTCTGTATTCTTTTTTAATTCAATGTTCCAATTGATTAATCCAGCACATTCCTTAATTACAGATCAAAATGGAAAATATTCAAAAGGTTTTTGTGAAGTTCCATTCTGATAAGAGCAGCCCAGTGGTAATAAGTCTCCTCATCTCCCACAACATTCTATACATGAAAAAACACTGGTACAGCTGTCTCAGAGCAGCCGTGTTTTTCCATCAGCTAAATGTGGCGTCTCTAAGGAGCTCAGGCCAGCCGATGAGACCTTTCAGTATGCTGTAAAAGCAAGCAGGGCCAGGAAAATCCCTGAGCGGACACTTCACAACATTATTGCTACTTCAGTAGTAAAATATTAACTTTCCAGTAACTTATTAAACAGGAGTGTGGTCTGTGTCATATGATGGTGTGCATAAGTGCCCCTAACACTGATACTGTATCATGTTCTATGTCCCCAGGGTTTCATTTCCTTGAAGAAGAACTCAAGGCAAAACTTTTATTAACCCTTGCAGTGGGGCTACCCCGGCGCAGCAAGGGTCAGCAGCATGTTTTTGTCTAGGTTAAAAAAAAAAAAAGAGTTATACTCACTAGGGATGCACCGATATATCGGCCGCCGAAACATATCGGCCGAAAATTGCACTTTTGGCTAAATGCCGAAAGTGCCATTTTTCTGCCGATACAGCGGCACATCCCTGCTTTCTTTCCTCCCCGCTGGGCGCTGCTCTGTGTTCCAGCGGGGACGAGAGAAACTGTGATAGCCGGCCGAGCGCTGCGGGAGGAGAGCACTGTGAGCGGCAGGCGTCTCTCCCCCCACACCACTCAGCCTCCTGTCACAGTCTGGCAGGCGGGGTGTGGGCGGAGACTGCACACGCTGTCACAGGAAGCAGAGCTCTCCTCCCTGTACCGCCTCCTGTGACAGCGTGTGACAGAGGAGAGCAAGGTTCACACACTCAGCAATCAGTAATCGCTGAGTGTTTGTATATAATTGAGGACATGGTATGTGTACTATATCCTCAATTATGAATGAATGAGAGTGATCTACATCTCCTCCTGTTCCTTCATGATTGTGGTTATAGTAAACACACTATACCCTCATGTTATGAATGAACAGGAGCACTCAGAATAGAGGATTCCTGTTCATTGATAACAGTGGATGCAGAAAAAGAGATTAAGGACTCTGTGTTCTCAATCTATTTTTCTATTTTAAAAGGGAAATATCAGGGTAATAAAAAGAAATATTAAAAAAATGTAAAAAGTTTATTAAAAAAATAAAAATAAAATATTTTTAAATATTTGAAAAAAATGTTAATAAAAAACATTTTTGGCCTGACAGTTTTCGTTTCGATTTTGAAATGTCCATTTCGGTGTACCTCGAATAGTCACCCGAACAGCTTTGCCGGCTCTCTGCTTCCTAGTCACTGAAGCCTGTCTCCTCATATGCTGCGGCATCCGAACGTTCCTCGGTGTCCTCACGTCTATACACAGAGTACAGAACATGATGATTTACGGTCTAAGAGCAAGCCAGCTCCGAGGTTCAGGTGAATATGACTTCTTTTTTTTTTTTTTTAGCCTTTAGACAAAAACGAGCAGGTAACCCTTGCAATGCCCCACTGCAAGGGTTAATAAAATTTTGCCCATAATTCTTCTTTAATAGAGGGGATTTTTTATGAAAGCTTATGCAAATTTGTTGTTATGATCAACAGAATACCCAAAGAGGGCAAAACATCAAAGCCACTGGCCAGCACCAAATATGGTTCCTTCGATAGGGGGTCACTCCATCAGCTGCCGCAGCAGAAGACTCCTCCCTTTGTAAGCTCTGAGCCTCTCAGGTCGCAGCTTACACAGAGCTATGTACTCTCCCCATGTGACAGCGCTGGTGCTTGATGATTGCCTCAGTGCTTTTACATGGAGTAAGTTGCATGCTTCTCGGAAGTACCAGGTATATTCTTCTCTCCCAGCAGCTGACTGATGCAGATGGGGAATGCATCAAACATGGGTATGGGCTGTTGGAGAGTGGAGTGATTAAGGGCCATTCACACTATACAATCCATTAAAATGCTGTACTTTAGCGGGCAGACTAGTGCATCGTGGCAGCTTCGACAGTGTGAGTTGTATCATTTGTGCCATAGTTTACCGCCATTTTATGAGCTGGTTTAATTTTAATGCTTGATATCTCTATTTACTCAACGTATCTCCATCTTTTATATTTTACCAAAGAAAACCAAATGGGTCATACAGTGGGGTGAATTTATCAACACGCCAGCAGGCAGAATCTGGAGCAGTTGCCCATAGTGACCAATCAGCTTCTCTCTTCAGTTTGTTCAGTTAAGATTTGAAAATGAAAGAAAGAAGCTGATTGCCGACTGCTCCAGATTCTGTCTGCTGCCGTTTTGATCGATTCCCCTCCTTGTGTTTTCTGTGCACTAAAACTAACTTTAGTGAATGTTTTACTGGAAATTGCAACTACCACCATTTTATTCTCCAGAGTTCCTGCTTTCAGAATTGGTTAACCAATCATCAGGCCTAAAATGTGCATTTTAACATGTGTGCAAAAAATGCAAAAACGGCTCTGGCAGCAAAAGGGTGAAACTGACTGATTACCTGTCACACTATCAGAGAAAAGTCAAATGATCCGTGCTTATTACAATTGAAAGCACACAAAGTAAGAAGAAACAGGACATTGTCAGCCTCTAACCAGGTCAGAAAACTTTCAAATGCTTTTGATTGAAAACAGTACCAGACACATTCCAGACAACAAACTATTCAAACAGAAAATATTGAGATACACACACACACACACACACACACATATGTTCAATTTTCTATACTGTATAACTGATTGCATCCCGGCTGTGTACATGCATCTGTTTTCATCTCCAGCATACAATATATTTTTGTATATCTACAAATATTTCTTTTGAAGAAGAACTATGGGGTCAGGGCTTTTCCCCATAGTTCTCCTTAGGGTAACGGGAGGACACAAACTAGCATCCTCCCGTCAGACCCCTAAGCTCCAGCTCTCGGTATATTGAGACGCCGCAGCCGGAGCGGATCCCGACATCGATGTCGAGATCCACCCAGCTGCGTGAGTGACACCTATCTAGAGGCAGAGCCAGCTGTACCCGCCCCCTCCCCCGTCCATTCCGCCAGTCAGCGCTGGCGGATCGGAGCGGGGAGGGGGGAATCCATCCCCTCCCCTGTCACGGCAAAGAGCCATGACAGGATCGAGAGGTGAGCGAATGCCGGTATATGTTCGCTCATCTCCCGATCTACTGGGCCGACCTGTGACAGTCTCATTGTCACAGGTCAGCTAGAACTATGAGCTGAGTGAAAAGCACTCACCTCATAGTTCTCCTTTAAGTGCCTAAACTTTGTCCGAACTCTGTATTCTGCATAAACACGTCCCTCATGGTGTCTGAACAACTATTTGATCAAAGCTGCAAGTAGGATTTTGGGTCAGTCACCTCTCTGCTCTTTATCATTTCACCAGTCATGCAGACTAAAGATAGTCACACGTAGTCTATTTCTCTCCTTGAGCCCCACAGGCTGAATAAGAGAAATAATTTGATTGCCTCATCCACATGCCCCACCAACAGCATGGATGGAGGAAGCTCCCCTGCTGGCTTTTGTATCCTGAGAGCTGGTGCCCACGGCTGTCAGAATACCCGAACTGGCTGCAGTCACTGTTCGGCCACCTAGTTTACCCCCGGCTCCGTCCACAAAAGTCAATTGAAGAACTGACTTGTTAAGCCAAGTGGTGCTGGCAGGGCCGTAATTTCGATCTGTGTATGGCCAGCCTAACCTCTGCATCAGTGCTCACCAAGAACACCTATTTTGGATGGTAGTAGATTTGGTTAACTTTGTTAATTAATTGTGCAAAATAACAATATGGACCAGATCTGCAATTAACAGTTCAAGGGGGTAGCTTAGGGCTCATGTACATAGACATTCTGTTTGCATGTAAGCTGGTTTTCCTCTAGCAGTCTTGATAATAAAACACTGCTTGGTTAATTCTAGAGCTGCAGCTAACGATTATTTTCAAAATCAATTAGTTAGCCGATTATTAGGTTCGATTAATCGATTAATCGGATAAACAATAAAATAAAGTTTAAAAAAAGGCTCCAGTGATGGGACTACTAGTTTGTATTGAGGTTGTAGTCCATCACAGGAGCAAGCTTGGAGCGGTGGAAGTAAAAAATAAAGATAGTGTCGTGTGCAATATAGTGAAATGGAAAGTGTAAAATTATACAGCAATGAATGCAGAATGGCACCGGCTATAGAGGACTACAAATCCCAGCAATAGTACATTATACAGCGCAATGCAGAATATCACCAGCTATAGAGGAGTACAACAAATCCCAGCAATAGTACATTATACTGTGTATATCACCAGCTATAGATCACAGTAGCTATCACAGTATATCACCAGAATATCACCAGCTATAGAAGAGTACAACAAATACCAGCATTATACATACAGTGTATAATGTATTGCTGGGATTTGCATTCCTATGTATAATATACAGCACAATGTACCATCAGCTATAGAGGAATACAAATCCCAGCAATACATTATAGAGCACCATGTGTGGGAAAGTGCAGGCTTACCTGAGCAGTCTTCTAGCAACTTGCTTCTGAGATCGGGCCTGTCTATCGGCGGCTGTCATCCCCCCACACCTGCTCCTCCTTACTACATCTCCCCGCGTCCCTGTGCCGATCGTGGATGTGGGCGGGCGGTGAGTGTGAGGCGTGAAGGAGGTGCGGCGTGTAGAGCATGGATGCGGGCGGATCTGGCAGCGGTGAGCGTGAGTTGGGGAGGAGGTGCGGCGCGCAGCGTGTGTGGAGCCGTGAACAGGGCCAACTGATCGGAAGCCGATTAATCGATTATTGAAAAAGTTGACAACTTTTTCAATAATCGATTATAATTGATTATGTCGATTAGTTGTTGCAGCCCTAGTTAATTCACTTTCACAGCCATGGCTTACCAGCCCACTCCAAACATTATGGAAACCGTTCAATTGCACAAAAATCTGCACTTCAGAAAAGTAGAATCAGTCTGCCAGCTACCACACTCACCAGATACATTACACCAACACTGTAGGTTAGTATATACCTGTGGATTAGCCTTCGGGCCATTGGAACTTGACAGATGCTTAACCACCCAATACAGCTTGATCTCTTCCTCTTTACCAAATGGCAACTTGTCCTTTACCAGGACAGGTGGAAGGTGTAGCAGTGTGCCTCTGAAGAAGCCTCAAGAAAACACATCAGGCATGCTGTAGCCTGCATTTGCATGCTTTGTTTCTATATCTTCTAACCTTTACATAAAAGTGAATTCACGCTATGAGCATTATTTATGCCTTCTATATACAAATACCATCACTGTGGAAAACATAGTTCCACCTGTACTGCATTGCTGGATTGCATCCATGCTCACTGAGGAGGAGAGAAGAAGAGATTCTAGGTGATTGGGGATTGTGTTCTGCTCCCCCTGTGCTGGTGAAGGAGTTCTACACAAGTTGGGAAAGAGGAGGTCGAGTGGCATCGGACAGTTAACATTCCCTGGAAGCTAAATCCACAACCTTATACTGACCTGCAGCAACATTGGTACAACATATGCGATGAGTGTAAAGGCTCATGGACCGATTTTACTGTTCTGAAATACGGTTTTTGGTGGGATTGAACATCAGCTATTACTCTTGAAACCAAAGTGATGTAAGAAGCAGAATGAAGCAGCTCAGAAGCAGCTTAAAGCAAATTAAAGCAACTCAAACACAAGTCCGTGCATCTCAGAGGTACCTAAAAGCATACTACATTTGGCTCCCATTTGAGTCTCATGGCTGTCTACAGAAGCTGTTATTTTTTTTTTTTCAAACAATGATGCCAGGAGAAATTATCGTGGGCACATCATCATGTGATGACATCATCATGATACCCCTTAAAGGAGAACTATGAGATGAGTGATTTCCATTCATCTCATAGTTCTAGCCGACCTGTGACAATGAGACTGTCACAGGTCGGCTCAGTAGAACGGGAGGTGAGGGAACACATACCGGATTCCCTCACCTCTCGATCCTGTCACGGCTCTCTGCCGTGACAGGGGGAGGGGCTGCATTCCCCTCTCACCGATCCGATCTGCCAGCGCTGACTGGCGGAACGGACGGGGGAGGGGGCGGGTACAGCTGGCCCTGCCTCTAGATAGGCAGAGCCAGCTGTCACTCATGCAGCTGGGCGGATCCCGTCAAAAGAGTCGTGATCCGTCCCGGCTGCGGCGTCTCAGTATACCGCGAGCTGTAGCTCGCGGTATACTGAGCTTAGGGTAACGGGAGGACGCTAGTTTGTGTCCTCCCGTTACCCTTTGGAGAACTATGGGGAAAAACACTGACCCCGTAGTTCTCCTTTAATACAGTATTACTATTCTTAAAGTTCCTAAATTTCATGCTCCTGTGAGAAGATATTATCAGAAGCTGTTGCTATCACAAAAATGATGTGCAGATATCCACAGCTATGTACTGTTATACAATGAGAGGTGGCAGCTGCAGAGCAGATTATAGGCACCAGTCAGCAATCTTCTAACTGTACTAAAATTATTATTAATGGGAATAAGATTGAATCGAATTCATATGGGTTACCACACTCTGAAAATCACCATGCATCTCTGTATGTGTGTGGATAAATATGATGAAACATTTCCCTGGATGCAAACTACGTAAACACTCTATCAATCTTCATAAGCCCACACTGTGGAAAATGATTGGGTAACCTGAGAAAAAAAAACTCACCTTTGAATATGGAAAATCCCAAATATTAAAGATAACCTCCTTTCCATCCACCAAAACATTGTGGCTATATATAGATTCTGCAAGAAAAAAACATTAGACCAGTCACAACCACTCCGCGGGAATTAATATTGCACGAGTGTTTGGTTTACATGAAAGCTTTCTTGCGTGTTCAAGACAACTTGACTACATCAGTATCCACACAGGCACATCTGCTTCTGTTCATCCTAATAGCCTGGCTTTATTTCATTAAGGCTATACGTAAGATTCCAAAGTGAAGCTCAGACAAATGTTGTTATCCTACAGTTTCTAAGTTAATTAGGCAGCTTCTTTAGTTCACATGAGCTGCATCATCTAAAAATAGTTTTATTATGACATTAGCTTCAAACAGAGGGACAATGGGTACAGTGCACTTTGCAGTAATGACATTAATGAAGACATCAGTACAGTAGGAAGTGTGCACCTGAATAGGTCTCTATCAAAGTATTCCTTCCTGTAGATGCTGTGGTAGGCAAATCTTTTTCATTGGATATATATATATCCCCTATTCAAATAAACAAATTCAGTATCATTTCTAAAGAGAAAACAAAGAACTACAGGGACTGCCTTTGAGGACTTATATTTTAATCTGCTGGTTAAATGCTGGTCTCACCCTTCAAGCTTAAAGTGACACTAAACTCAGGAGTTAAATCCTAAAAATACATTCAAATACTTTAACTATTAATACAAATGTATCTTATTTGTGTATCACTCGGCTGCAGATCCTCAAATCATCTCTGAATTGGTGCTGAAACTGTCCTTCCTTCTGGAGGGTGGCTACTTTTGTTCCCCATGGTCCCTGTGTGTGTTGTAAAGTAGCCACCGCTCCAAGCTCGCTCCCGTGATGGACTACAATCTCAATACAAATTAGTAAATTAAACATGAGATTGTAGCCTATCAGAGCAGTGAGCTGAGGCTTGTATAACATTCATCTGCTTAAATCTTTGGATCTATTGATGGTTTTGACATGACGTTTCAACTACGGGCAACCTATACATTTTAAATCATAGCTAGGTTTCAGTAGCTCACTCCTGTGACAAATGTACTTAAGGGTGCCAAACACATTGATTTTCTAGATGAAATGATTGTTTTAGCTCTTGCCAAGAACCAGGGCATGTATGGCTCATCTCCCAATTTGCTTTCCAATAGTCATCCAGATATTGTTTAAATAGAATATGAGATCACTCAATCATAGTTTTCACATGGTCATTCGCACACCATCCATATGTTCTGCCAGTTTGTACCGGCTTAGAATGGCCACCACCACTATTGGATTGCCAATTCTATATCAGACTGGGCTGCACAGACGTTTCAGTCATCCTATGCCTGGAAAAACTATCTGTCGGTATAAAACTCTCTGCCACTTACACAGGGTCTAGTGCACTGTGTACCTGGGCATAGTACAGACGTTTTTAAAACCTTTCCCTTTGATTATGCGAAAAATGGGATGGGGGCCCCCCCAATGACTAACGATGCCAAGATCCCAAAGAACTCTCTTGTGCATCTGGAGTCATTTCTACACTGTAGAATTTAATCTGCCTCATCAACTTAATGAGGCCCCCTTTTACCCCCCAGGCCCCATAGCAGCCGTCTGGGCTGCTATAGTTATGTCACGGCTCCTTTACAACACAGCATAATGGCTCTGCATGCTTACTCAGTACATTGAGCACAATGTAAAGCTAGCCGTACACTGGTCAAATGTTGGCTGAGTTCTGCTGACTCGGCCAAAATGTAAGCAGCGTGTGGCCCTGTCCCTATCAGCACTACTCGAAAAATCGACTTTTGTCAAAGGAGCCATCCTGAAATTTCTCATCTGAACTGTGACTGCAGCCAATAAGCTTTGGTCACTGTTGGGGTGTTCTGACACCAGCATACCCACTGCTGTCAGAATACAAGAGCCCGTGGGGGGAGATCCAAATGTGCGGGGGAATTTATCAAAACTGGAGCAGACAGAATCTGGAGCAGTTGTCCACGGTAACCAATCAGCCTCTCTCTTCAGTTTGCTCAGGTAAGATTTGAAAAATGAGACAGATAAGCTGATTGGTTGCAGTGCAAATCTGCTCCAGGTTTTGCCTGTCTCAGGTTTGATACATTCCGCTCATTGTGTATTGCCAACTTAAAGTGCCATTAAAGGATACATTTTGTTTCCCTCCCCCCCCCCCCACAGCGCTGACTCCTCTCTGCTCGCTGGCACTTCTGATCCCACGGTGTCTGCATGCGGGTGCACCCGTCCATAGACTTACCTTGCGTCTCTGCTCGTCTCCCGGCCGAGAATCCGAACTGCGCATGCGCCCGCCCCAAGATGCTTTGCGCCTGTCCGAACAGTTTCGTTTTCTCGGACGGGAGCGCGCAGCGAAAACAAGGTAAGTTTAAACCACTGCTAAAGCGGTTTTTTTTTAAAAACTGTTTGCATATATCTACTGCTTGCTAGCAGTAGATATAGGCAAAAAAAACGGGAGGGTTTAGAACCCCTTTAAGATATACTGCCATATAACCGTTTAATGCTGGCCACACACTGGTCAATTTACATATGAACGTTCATACATACTTACACAGTTGTTAAGGTTCCAATGCCACTTTATATTGTATTCGTTGAGGAAATAGTTTAAATGTTTTTTTGAATGTGTCTATATTCTCTGCTGAAACCACTACCTGGGTAAGGGAGTTTCCGTTTTACTGCTCTAACAGTAAAGAATACCTTACACAGTTTGAGATTAAACCTATTTTCTTCCAATCTAAGGTGGTTGCCTATTGGCTTCTTTAGGGATCTTTAAATGGTACAAAAAATCTCATCAGAACATTCAATAATGCCACCAGAGACTTGTAGAATGTCAGTCAAATCAAATTTTGTTTGATTTTAACATTTAATTTAAGAATGAATTGAGTTTTTTCTAAAGAAAACCACATTCACTGTTAGAGCGAGATTAACCTTCCATCCTGATCCTTTGATTATTTTTTTTTATTACTATGGTCAAAAACAATTGTCTATTTGACCTCATTAACCGTTTGAAGATCGAACGAACATTCTGAAAGCACATTTTTTAGAATGAAATTCTACTGCTGTATGGCCAGCCGTCAGACTTACACAACAGACAGACTATACCCTCTGTGCACATCTCTCAAATATCAAAGTGTGTTTGCTGAATAGGAAGACAAAAGGTGTTTACAAAATGTTTCTCACAGACTGCTAATATCTTCAAATGGCTGACCTTTCATACAAAAGAATCAATAAAACCACTCTGCACTCGTGTATGTTAGCGGGAACTGAGTCAGCACAAAGGTACCTGCAGCCCATAGTACAATTTTTTATAAACAGTCCCCAGCACATTGTCTTATTTTGCCTCCATAAGTCACAAAAGCAAATATCACTTCTGCCTGACTTTTCATTTTATTGTTATCACTGCACGCCAGCACAACCGGAAAGGATGCAATATGTGTTCTGTTTTGTACTTTTGGAATGTCTAGGGCAGCTTTCTCAACCTTTTTATCCTAGAGCAGGGGTAGGCAACTCCAAACCTACAGCTGTTGTGCAACTACAACTCCCATGAGGCATTGAAAGACTGGCAATTATAGGCATGACTCCCACAGTCAGGTTGGAATTTGTAGTTAAAGCACAGGTGGAGGACTGGAGTTGCCCAACCCTGCCCTAGAGGAACCCTCGTAATATTTTTCAGGTCTCAGGGAACCCCTGCTGAAACCAATTCATTGGGGGTCAGTAGGAAAAATGCTCTTTAGGTTGGTGGTCAGTGGTAGAAAAAAGCCCCCCCTACAGTGCTGGTCATAACTGCACCCTTACATTCAGCTAAAAAAGATCATTGGTGTCATGCCACCGACTCCGTCATATAGCAATGGCCCCAGAACTATGCAGGCACCATCAAAAGGGAGGTCAAACCACCAATCGACCACCCAGAAATGTTGGTCTAGGGCAGGCAACCTTGGCACTGCAGCTGTTGTGGAACTACAATTCCCATAAAGCATTGCAAGACTCTGACAGCAACAGGTATGACTTGATGGGGCAGGGGCGTTATGGGATTTGTAGTATCAGCACAGCTGGAGTGCCAAGGTTGCCTACTCTAGGGCAGGGGTGGGCATCTCCAGCTGTTGTGGAACTACAAGTCCTATGAGGCGTTGCTAGACTGACAGTTACAAGTATGACTGCCAGAGGCAGGGACATTATGGGATTTGTAGTTTCAGCACAGCTGGTGTGCCAAGGTTGCCTACCCTTGGTCTAGGGGCTACATTTGATTATTTGGCTCCTATAGAGATCAAGTAATTCAGTTCACAGATATACTAAAAATTGTAAATGTATGATTGTCATATACAGTAGAAATTAGTAGGTCCCTCTGCACTCGTTACATTGTCGCCCTGATGAAGGGATCCTATGCGGTCCTGAAACGTCGCTATTTAGTACACGACAATTGACGATTGGTCCGATTAAATGGACATCAAAGATATTTACTGAGTGCTGGTGATTTCTGCTTTCCACTGATTGTCAAATACAGACATCTCATAACAGTCGGGATTCACATATGAGAAGAACATATACTTACCGAGATCTCCATACTCTCCAATGAAGCGTCTTGTTAGAAAGCGGACTGTCAGTGCTACAAGAAACATAATCAAAGCTCAGTTAGTAAAAAGTAAAAATACTGACATAGCAGCAGTTGTATATAATCGGATGCCTACTGATTCTGACTTCCACCGCTGGCAATTATACTTCATTACATGATTCATATCCAAATATTTGGCGATAACAAACAAAAACGTGTTCTGCTTGAGCAAAATATGAACTTTTGATGGAAGTACATCAATGACACACCTGGATCCAACAGGTATTTGTAAATAATCAGATTGTGTTCAGTGCATCGCCCCATTCCCCTCCTGGGCATCCTGCTGCAATGACAGGAGATGCATGCACTCACCTGATTTCCCCACTCCGTCTGCACCAAGAACTAAAATATTGGCTTCCATCTTCAGAGCAGTGGGTCCAGTCATTTCTGGCGGGGTGAGAGAAAGCTGGTGCTCGGGGCTCAGGCTTAAAGATCTTCGGAGAGGGATTTTTAGAACCATTTGCAGGTAAGATCTACAGTGACACCCCCCTCCCCGGCAGGAGCTGCCTTCTCTAAGCGCTCACTCTGAATAAGCCCCCGTACGGCTCTCACCTCAGGCATTTCAATGGAACGTACCATTCCGCCTCACACACCGGGGGGAGACCGAAAGGGGAAAGGCGAAGCTTAGAACAATTCTGCTGTGCCTCCGTTGTAAAATTAAAGTGATTTTATCTTAATGAAGTTAGAGAAGAAGAGGGAAGTCAGTTATATTTGTTTTAGGATGTGAATAACAATGAACCATTTTGGTACATTCCACGAGACTGTATTCATGGGCTGCTGGGTTGGAGCCAGCTGTAATTTTTGGTTAAGCTGCTGTCATGGGGGAGATCAGCCACTTCTATGGCCTCAGTACAGTTTATCTGCCCTCAGAACAAAGTCAGAATCTATTAATAATGATTTCTCAGGGAGTCTGGACTCTTTAATATGTCAGACACCTTATCACACTAGTCAACGTCCAGAGGTTACTGGAGGGTAGACTGCTGCGCAGAAAGTGCATGCTGCGTCTATGATAAGTGCTCCATCCTATGGGAAGGATTATCAGATGGCAGTCATAACATCATAATGCCAACAACCACATTACAATCAATTTCATGGTGGCAGGAGCACAAAGGGGAGGGAAATCTATCAAAACTGGAGCAGTTGCCCATAGCAACCAACAAGCTTCTACTCGTATCTTTCATTCTCAATGCTGTGACTGAACAAACTGAAGTGAAAAGCTGATTGGTTACTATGGACAACTATTTCAGATTCTGTCTGCTCCAGTTTTGATAAATTCCCCTCATAACATGGAATCATGTGCCCATCATCATAGCTGACAATATGAATGGCTATGCTATAGTGCAGTGAAGGTCAGCTTTGTAACTATAGAGGGTCTCAACTGCGGCCCCTGACATGTCTAAAGGGCCTCGCAATGGCATCTGTACTTGCAATGCAGTGGCGTCACAAGGGAGGGTGCGGGAGGTGCGGCCCGCACCTGGGTGACACCATTGGAGCGGTGACACCAAAAGGACTGACACTCATTTTGGTGTCAGCCTCTCTCTAAAAAGTCGGGCACTCAGTCATGGACCGAGAGCCCGACAGTGTCAGGAGAGAAGAGGGGACCCGGCGGCATACCTCATCTCACCAGGTGAACGTCCCCTCCTCTCTCTGCCGGTGTCCATCAGCAAGATGACCGCCGGCAGGCGTCAATTAGATGACCACGCATGCGCAATGACATCATCACGCACATGCATGGTGATGTCACGCGCATGCAGGATGACGTCACAGCAGGGTGTCACCCAGTTTCCAGACACCCGGCCTCACGACGCCCCTGACATAATATTACATTAAAGGCTCTCCCCCCACCCCGCTGATTTCTCTCCTTGTGCAGGGTGACTGGTCTTGGCTCCACCCCCTCCTGTAGTTTTTTGCAGGCAGCCTCTAGTAGGTGGAGCCTGCTGGGTCCCTCCCACAGCTCTGCTCAGGTCATGTACAGCACAGGGATGGTGTCACTGCTACTTTCACAAGGCAGTACCTGGGTTTTCAAAGGCATTTGGAGCACATAAGATTGATTGTTATCCTTTGTGGCTATTGAGGAGTATTGCCAGTGGACAGTGACTTCTGCATATGCACAGCCAAGTGTACAATTGTGGTATTGGTAAGATGCCAGGAGTAAGAGCTGGGGACGGGACAAAGTAACTCCCATGCTCATGCTCAGGAAAAGAAAATGGGCCAAGCTTCAGTATCTTGCTAGCAGGCCCCGCTGGCTCTCAAAATACTTCAACTATGCCTGCATCCAATCAGATTGTTCCGGTATTTTGAGAGCCAGCGGGGCTGACTAGCAAGATGCTACAGCTTGGCCCAGTGGGAGATTCCTCCAGTCACACAGTTTAGCGTAGATGGAGGAATCTGTTGCACTTTTTCCATCTGACCATAGAAAATCTGCAGGTAATCTAGAGGTGTGTGGCCAGCTTTAGAATTCTTCCTCTCCTTCACATGTGCACCATCACCAATAATAGGATGACAACCCTGTGTATAACGTCTCTTATTAGAAGGACCTGAAGAAGCTTCCAATGTGCTCCATAATGATGACAGATCAACAATGTCTCCAACTCTCTCCATGCTGCTCAATAAAGGTGCATTATGAAGAAGTAAAACGTCTCTTTCATCTGTGCTCCAAAAATCTATCAGGGTTATTATTCACTAAAGGGCGAAGAGTTTGGAGAAGGCAGGAGAAGGGAACAATCTCGGACAGGGGTGCCCATAAGGTCGATCTCGATCTACCAGTCGATGGCAAAGCTACACTCTACCTGCACAGACACTGAGACACTCCGTCCGCACACTTGGCCCGCCCCTCTGTCTTCGTCAGCGTCCAATAATCACTGCCTCCCCCACGTAGTGACATCGGCCGCTCCTCCCTCTCTTCAGTGTGCAGTACATTTGACTGGCCCTGCCCGCAGCTTTGGACACATCTGACCCGCTCCTCCCAGTCTGCAGCATCAGGCATGCTGGGACCACACCTGAAGAGCCAGAAGCAGGTATGTTCTATTGGCAACTAACAGGTTGAGTGGGAGCTGACAGTATAGTTAAGGGGCTGCGCAGTTAAGACTTCTAAGACCTTGTTCACACCATTCTCAGTGCGTGTTGGTGCTATTGTGGCCGGAACTAACTGGATCGCATTGGGGCCGGCTCAGTTTGTTGTGGGGTGGGAGGGGGCGTGGCAGTGTGTTGAAGTGAATGGCACCGCAGCCACGCCCTCCGGTCGCAATGCGATCGGCCGCACAGAAACGCAAGGCACATCAATACCTGCGGTCCGAAAAAATAGCATTTTTTCTGACAGGACCGGTTCACACCACAAACAGTGCGTTCCAGAGCGGTATTGCTCTCCGGTTGGTTGCCTGCGTTCAGGGGCGATCACCCGCTCTCGAATGCGTGGCACATTAGTGCCTGTTTTTTTCGGTCCAGTGAATCAAAGAATGCAATGTTTTAGGACAGTGTTTAGAGTTTGTTCACACGAGTTACAGTACAGTGTGTTCCAGCACCATTAGCTGCGGGAACGCATTGTATCGCATGGTAAACTCACCCAGCGTTCTGGGCTGGGAGGGGCCGTGGCGGTGAATTGAAGTCACCAGAACGCGGAAGCCACAATGCCTGCATTCTGCTCCAGTGTGATCGGAAAAAATAGCGCATGCAACATATTTTTTCAGATTGCGCTGGACCAGAACGCAGGAATTTTTGTGCCGAGTTTTGGTGCAGGCGAACGCACTGCGGGCGGGAGGGGGGGGGGCCCTGCATGGCTGGGGTGCCATTGACTTCAGAACACAGGAGGGAGGTAGATCGTTGGTAGATCTCATTGTGCTCCTCATTTGAAAAGTAGATCTCAATACAAAGAATTGTGGGCACCCCTGATCTAGGACAACATAGCTGAACTGGAAAGTGTTCTGAATTAGATAATTCTTCCAGTTCAGCTATGTTGTCCTAGATTGTTCACTTCTCTTCCCTTCTCCAAACTCTTCACCCTTTTGTGAGGAACCCTGTAAATGTTCAGATTTAAACAGAGCAAGAGAGGCCTGCCACAGCATATCACACGTATATTATAATGTATCAGGAAAGACTTGTCATAGCAATATGCCATCTATATCTCTTTTGCCTTGCAGCACTGGGGGTCCCTGGTTCAAATCCCAGTCAGCACACTATCTGCATGGAGTTTGCATGTCCTCTCTGTGCTTGTGTAGGTTTTCTCCAGGTACTCCAGTTTCCTCCCACACTCCATGCTGGAAGGTTATTTGGCTTCTGTCTAAACTGGCCCTGTATGCATGTGAGATAGAGACCTCACAAAACAGCGTGCGGTTTCCCGACAATTAATGCCAGACGCTTTAGATCTGAATTTTAAGGGGAACCCTAATGAAAAAAAAATGAAGAAAAAAAAAAAGTAGGGTCCCCCCTAAAATCCTATACCAGACCTAGTGGGCGGCAGTGAGCGAGCCTGGAAAAGCACCTTGTCCTCAGGTCTGGAGCATTAGCCAGCCTGTTATTGGCTATTTCAATTTTAATTAGCCAATAGCGGGCCTTGTTTATTTCTGCCCACTGCTCGATGTAAATATTGCATCGGGGAGATTTTTTTTTGTTTTCATTTGTCGGCCGACTACATTTTAAATTTATTTTTCAAATAAAGGAATTGTCAAAAATTCATATTGTGTTGCATTGTTTGGTGGAGGGGGGGGGGGATTAAGAGTCTGGTATGGGATTTTAGGGGGACCTCATGTTTTTTTTTCTTTTTTTTTGGTCTTTGGGGTTTCCCTTAAAAAACCTACCAGACCTAAGGGGTCTGGTGTTAAGGGTCTGGTATGAATTGGGGGGGACCCCATGCTGTTTTTTGCTATTATTATTATTTCTGTGAACAGTTAAACACTTTTGTGTATTCTGTAACAGCTGTCAGATTCTTGAGGGCCCATTCCCACCAATTGTGGTGCATTCCAGAGTGGCAGCTGCTCAGAAAACACCCCCCTTTGTTCTGGGTCGGGAGGGGGCTTGGCGGTGCATTGAAGTCAAAACATTGCCTGCGTTCCGGTCCACTGCAAATCCAAAAAGTGCTGCATGCTCTATTTTTGGTGTTTGCAATGGACCGGAAGGCAGGCAATGTTTTGCCACGCGTCCGATCGCACTGCGGATGGGGGGGGCGTGGCTGTGATGTCATTGACTTAAATGCACCGCCACGCCCCCTCCCGATCTCTGGCTTCTCTGCACTTGTATCTCAAATGAAAACAAAGTAACACAATATTGTTACAAAATGTAAATAATGAAATAAGCTGAGAGATCTGTGTTATTCGGTAACTCTGCTTCTTTGCTGAGGATCCCAATGTAAGGGCCTATTCACACCAATTGGGGTGTGTTCCAGAGCGGCACACAAAATGTCACAAAATGTCCCCCTTCATTCAGGGGCGGTGCATTGATGCCAAAAATAGAGCATGCAGCATTTTTTGCATTTGCAGTGATCCCGAACGCAGGCAATGTTTTAACTTCAATGCACCGCCAAGCCCCCTCCCGCCCCAGAA